AGAATATCACCTACAGCTCAACCTGGCAAAGACTGAGCTTCTTGTCTTCCCTGTTTGCCTCTTTAAGAAGAATCGCTTTATGTATCCCCCAATTGTAAGTCGCTTTGGATAAAAGCGTCTGCAAAATTACTAAATGTAAATGTGTAAATGTTAACAGAGATCACAGGTATGCCATGTTTGGTATCTTTCGGCTGAATTTTAAATGGTCTAAATGTTCATTTATATTATATGTTGATACCAATGGAAGGTATTAGTGTTACCAGAATCTTTAATTGTTTCTTCATCAACATCCAATCAAAGTCCATATGCAAAACATATGCCTGAGGACAAAGGATCGTAAACTTTCCCTCAGAAGGTACACTTTCTCATTGGCTCACTCGCCTCTTGAAGGGTGGGACATCCTCACAGTTTAAAAGATCACAAGATCAGAGTTATTCAGAATTCAGAAAGTTTTCAGATGCAGAAACCCCAGGGCAAGATGCAAATCTAAGAGTCCTCAAGAACCCAACCTAAGCTTTTGCCAGGCTTCGGCCTAGCCTTTCCACTTCAAGATCCTCTGACTCAAACTGGTTCTTTTTCATCAACCAACTTCAGCAAAGATCAACTTGAGCCTTCAGATTGCATCAGGACTCTCTTTCAGTCAGACAAGATGTGCAAGAATCAAACTTAGTCTTATTAATTGATACATTAAGTATCATTTGCACCTTTTACAAAGGTGTGTTTGAACTAAGAAATTGATGTTTCCTTCAGGCTGTAGACCTGCTAAATATCAAATTTTACCATAACTTCATGCTTTATTTCTTTTCTCTTTACTGCTTAAGCTTTAACACATTTTCCTATGCCAACTGTATGCATGTGTGTGTGTGTGTATGTTAGACTAGTTCAAGTGTTTACATAATTAAAGTTTTACTTGTATCACACTTGAGGTTGTTCATTGTTTGCTCATAACTGGAGTCCCTAATCATGCAGATTTATGCTACATGCTCTGAGTAGTATTGTACAATAAGAAAGTTATTTTTCTTAAGCAGGAAAGTAACGTTCTTAGAATTGACAGACAGTTAAAATATTTACAGCGGATCTAAATATTTATAATTAATCATAACTAGTTATTATTGATTATTCATATTTCCCCTTTGAGCTGATTCACTACAGTACATAGTTATAGGCATCTAAAGATTTATATGCCCTCGGTTTCTATTTACTATACACGCTTGTAGTGTTGTCAAAATACCAAAATTTTGAGTTCGATATGATACCTGACTAAAATATATTGATACTACTACTGAACCGATACATGACAAAAATGAATTTAAAAAAAGAAAAGAAAGAAATATCCCACATGACCAGTGTTCCTGCCCAGCTTTTTGAGCATTTCCTCCCCCTTAAAAAAATAAAAAAATCACATGCCAGTGCCACCTATGGTGGGCAAATACCAGTCTATGACTATGATGCAGCCGAGCCTACAGGTATGTATAGATATTTTCAACATTGGTAAGCTAGATGAGGGCATGAGGTAGGGGTGGAAAATATGTTATTATATATGTTGGGCTAATGGGCTAATACGAGGCAATGTCAGAAATGTACAATAACATATATGTTAAGTTAATATGTTAATATGTCTATACCCTGATAGCACACGTACATCACAGAGACTTCTATTTGACGTCTGCATTTATATCTGCAAGATATATTTTTTAGAGTGTTTGCTCATCTGTAATATGTCTATAGGATATGTCCTATCAGATGTCAAATAGATGTTTAGAAGATGTCTTTAAGATGTTTATGATTTAGAATGTATGTAAACTGACATCTTAAAGATGTCTATCAGAAGTTTCTACCCAGCAGATGCTTTCTAGATGAAGCGATTTTTAACAGACATCTTGCAGACGAATGTGTGCTATCTGGGTAGAGGTATATTTGTTCCCAACAATCACTACACAAGTTAAGGATATGTATGATGATGAAAGCACGTTAGTGCTCGCCCTCCCGGAACTCATAGAGATTGCATTGCCTGCAGTTCCAAAAAAAAAAAAGTATTTGTATGGACCTGAGTGAAATTGCCCAAAAAGGGACGGTACTCCACAGAATGTGACTTGACGCTGATTAGAATATATATCCAGAGGCAGAACAAATAGTCTAGAACAGTGACAACTGTGGTTGAATGTGATAGAAAAAAAATCCCTTCCTTTCACACTTTGGTGGTGCGTCGCCCTATCGCCCTAATGAAGAAACCACCCCTGTTCTATACTGTAATAAAGGCAATTAGCATTGGATTATAAATCCATATAAGTACTTTATTAAAATCCTCAAAATGGCTTGAAGAACATGATAAACCATATACTGTCACGCCGTCTTCATGTTTGATCAGTTCAAGTGCGATAGTTTGAGGTCTTTGTCCATATCAGGGATTTCCTGGAACATCAGGAGTTCTATTACTTCTGTGATGGATATGTGGAGTTTCTGCGCGAGGTCACCCTCCGGCTTCCAGTATGAATGAAATAAACATGTTTAGTGCTCAGTAATGCGCACTCAGTCCTACTTTGGCAATAAATAGGAAAAAATAATACTTCTCTCTAAAGAAATGTGATGTAAACGTATGATAATCTATGTTTTTTGTCCAGTGTATAGAAGTGCACAGGAGTTGTTCTTCCCCCACAGATTTTCCATACCTCCTGATAAAAAATACGAAATTACTGTCAAATATTTTTATCATAACACTATCATATGATGTAGTTATAGGCTGCCTGCATGTTAGCAAGTAGCCCTGCAGTTTTTTGTAAAACAATAGTTTTCTGTAAAATACAATTATAATTGTTTTTATCCTATAATACATTTTTGTCTAATTATTATGTTTTTTTGTTCATTTGTTTAAAAATCGCATTTTAAATTGCAAATCAATGAAACGCTTTTTTGATTTAAAGATAATTTTGTAAAAACAAACTTAAATCCTTTTTCATTAACGCTACTAAAAATAAATTTATACTTTAATTACATTTAGAGATATTTAAATGTAATTGTATTTGCATAATTAAATTTGTATATTATGTTATATTATATTATTTAAATATAACCCCCATCTGAGGGTTGTCCCCCCTAAAAAATATGATTAAAAACCAGTCTGTGTATTGTAAATAATTGTGTAAGTAGTAAAACAACACAAACGGGGCAAAAATGCGTTTTAAGTTTAGAAACATTTTGAGTCTTCCCCTCCCTTGCCTCACTTTGGTCCAAATGCCTGCCTTCATCTTTTACATCACCTACACACACACACACAAGTCCGGTGAGAGAGAACAAAGCCAATAGTTGAGGAAGACCAGTAAATAAGGCTGTCATGGCTATTCTTCACTTAAACATCGGATGAAGTGATAGTATTTTTTCCCCGTTTTTTTTTCTGTGGGAAACTGTTTAACTGTTGGGAATAAAAAAAAAAATTGTTGGCAAAGGTTAGTACATGAACTCCATCCACCAACGTGTGATTGGGCTAGTCAGCATTACTAGTCGTCAGTTCCAGTGGTGCAGGTGGTAAAACGCATGTCATCCACCTTTATGACGTGATCGGCCCGGGTTCGAATTTGCCTTTTGGCGAACTTTTTTTCTCCCGTTTCAAATTTCAAATCACATCAGAAAAGCATTTATTTTTTAATAAAAATGAAGGAAATAATCAAAAAGTTGAAAAAGTATCGGTTAGGGTAGGTGTAGGGAGGGCTTTTGTCCCGATGAGGTGGCATCCATTTAATAATTTGAATTAAAATTAAAATTTACACTCAATAAGTTATTGCATACTGTTTTATAATGTACTACAATACTGAGGTGCAGATAATTGCCACTATTTGCAATAAGTAGTAT